CGTAGGCATAGCCGCGGGCTATGCTTGTATCACTGTTCGGTTGGGCGTCTCACAAAAGCGATACAAGCATAGGCGTGGGCTAGGCCAGTCTCCTGGTCCTGAGATTCCAATAAGCCTGAGGGCAGTGCAGGGAGGGTGGAGTGGTCATGTTGGAAAGGAAGGTTCTCTGCCTGAGCAACCAGGCTGGAAGGATGGTTCATGGGGGTAAGGTTGGGGTTCCAATCTCACCTCCATGCAGCTTTCACTAGCTAGTGTGACTCCGGTGACACTTGCAACTGCTGAAGCAGCATTGCTTCGATGCTGTGCTGGTGGTGGGGAGAAGGCAGGAGTAGAGGGGTTGTTGCAAGACGTGACTTTGTACTGCACACGTGAAGCAAGCAATGTATTGTGTGATTTCAGTAACTGGTGTTGTTGAGTTGACTACTGAAGCAGCATTGTATCAGATGCTGTGTTGGTACCAGGGAGCGTGGCAGGAGTAGTGGGGTTGATGCAGGACGTGAATGCCTGTGAAGCAATGCACATGTGCAGGAGCCTAGAGCCCTAATGGTGGTACTACCGTTGTGCTTGTGCCTTGCTGTCAGTAGTTACCACATGGTTATTCTGAGATGCCTGATGAGAGCCATGCATGGAAACTGGATAGAACTTTGGCACAACTGTAATACACTATGGGATGGTATCACATCCCATCCAATGAAACAAACCGCAACAAGCAACAATAGAAGGAAAATGCATCAGCCACCGTGTGGCTAAAATCAGAAGGCAGCAGCAGCCACCACACATGGTACATATGTACCTTCCCCCCTTTCCCGTTCCTCGCCTCCCTCCCTGGGCCATTGCAAAAGAGGGCCATTGCAACCCTGCTACCACGAAGCCGTGCTATCACCCCACCCAAACCTGCTTGATGAAAGGCTATAATAGTCCACCCATCACCACTCCTCTGTAACCCCCCTAACAGCATAGAACGTCCCCGATGCAGCCGCCAGCTAACCAACCAGGAATAACAACCTATCCTCATGACAAAAAAAGCAGAATAAACACCAATCCACCCATCACCACTCGTCTGTAATCCCCCTGACAGCATAGAACGTCCCAGACGCAGCAGCCAGCAAACCAACCAGGAACAACCCCATCACCCCCACCACCTCCCCCCACCCTAATCTCCCCCCTTCCCTCCATGGCCCACCCATAAGCTTCACATAACACGCGCACGGGAGCATGACAGAAATGGAAAGCGACAGGAAGCTTCCGATGAACGCCATCACGAGCCCGAAAAACGGGACGGAGAGAGCTACGGCAACTGCGCCGGCCACTAGTGCCGTCCGGAGGGCTGTGGCCGATGCTATGTGCTGCCACGAATCCACACCCGTACCCATGTCTATACCCTTGCCCATGCCCGTGTCCGAGCCTGCTTCCAAACCCGTGCCTGTTTCCGTGCCTGTTCCTGAGCCTGTGCCTCGGCTGCCTCCTTCTATGACGTCAGCATCACCTTCAGCAGACACACCCCCCTCTTGGGTAGAGTGAGAATGCGAGTCAGAGTGAGGGAGTGGGTGGGGGTGGGCAGTGGGGAGGGTTTCTTCTAAAGCCAGAGCAATCGGCAGCAGGGTAAGCGCGAACTTAGTGAAGGGATTCACCACTGTAGTCCAAACCACCGCCTTGGAAGCACTAAGTGCCGGCGGCAAGTTAAGCGTGATCTGAGATTGCACAGACGCCCCGAACATGGCGTACCCCATAAGAGCCATCCCGCCATAAAGCAGAGTGCACGCCACAAAACTCACGAGCATAACCGGCGTGAAATGGTCCGGTTTTTTCATCGATCGGTAAATATTCGGGACGACCGCGTGCCCAGAGAAACAGAATCCGAATAAACCGGCTGCTGCTGGTAACCCCATGGGTTTGAACCATTCCGTGGTGCTGCTGATTCCGCCTGGAATATCCCCGATATGGTCAACCTCTTTAAGCCATCCCACGCCGAACACTAAAAGTAGGGACGCCAGTACACCTCCTGCTGAGATGTATGCGAGAAGGCTCAGGTCTCTTAGCCAGACGGTGGGGAGGACTAATAACGCGGATAGAATGACGTAGAACTGCTTCGGTTCTAGGCATAGGTTGCCTGCTCCTGTAGCTAACGAAACTGCCTCTAAAGCTGGTTCTATCCCCCTCGCAACTGCTGATGCCAATGCTGCTGCTGCTCCCAAGATCCCTTCTCCTTGCCCCTCTCCTCCTACCCCTCCCACTCCTCCTCCTCGTGCTATTCCTTCTAGAAACCACGCTCCACCGCTCTCCACCACTCCACTGCTCCCCTTTCCAACCAGGCACCCCGGAAGCAGACAAATATCGCCGGATGGGAACAGATGCGCCAGATTGTCCCCTTCTAGAATCAACAGCTCTACAGTCACGGCGTACAGTTCGAAGTAGAGCAGAAACGCGGTAAGCCACCGCCCCGCGCGCCCGAACGCCGCCTCCCCGATGTCCGGGTACGAGCGGATGGGGCGCGGCGCGCGCACGATGCGGGGGGACGCGCAGGCGGAGGCGCGCGCGGAGGCGGCGGAGTGCGGAGCGGCGGGGTCGTCCGCGAATGAGCGAAGCGACGAATCGGACGGAAACGCGGAGGCTGATGATGATGGTCGGAAGTCCATGCATCGGCGCAGCAGGATGGCGGTGTAGCAGCAGGCGGCGGCGAAGAAGAGCAGCACGAGGAGACCCAGCCAGCCCGCTTGCGCCGTGGCGTATGGCGTTGAGAGAATGCCGATGCCTGTGGGGGAGGGAAGGGCACGGCGGGGGGAAGGGGGTAGGGGGGTGGGGGGAGGGATGAGGGTAGGGGAAGACGAGGGAACGTAAAGAGGACTAGGAAGCTGCGTTCGCGACTAGGCGTCTTTCTGGCCCTAATTTGTGTTATTCTCTTTTCTGACTTTGTCTTCTCTTTATTTTTTCTGGCCCTTTTTAAACAAAAAAGTCGCCCTAAATATACAAATTTGCAACAAGCCACTCACCTGCGAGAACATTGATGCCGTTAAATACGCTGTCGATAAACCCGCTGTTCCCCCTATGTTCGATCCGCCGATACTCCTCCTCGCCTCGTATTCCCTTTGCGCGCTCCGCTTCTCCCGCGCCGCCAACCCCGCCCGCGGCGCGTTCAACATCCTTCCCATAAAAGGTGTCTGAATCCGAGTCGCCTCTTCCCGCGGCCGCTTTATCGCCCAGCAAGGGAGCTTCGAGACCCTCTTGCGTCTTGTACACGATGGATCCGAACCGCGAGTTTCCTCGCGACTCGGTGACTTTTCGCATTTGAGGCTCGCCGCTTGGAAGCGGACGGTAGCGTGCTGAGTCGACTGTGACTGTATCGAGCGTGACTGCGACGGATTCAGAAGACTCCATTCTCGTATCCCTGCCAAAGCACGAGGGCTGCTGGAGGTGTGGGGGCATTGTAGAGAGAAACGCGTCCGCGCCCGCTGTGCCGGCTGTTCTTTCTGTTATATTTTCACGCGCCGTGAAGCAATTGAAGATAAACCTTAATGACGCAACCTTTGTGTAAACCCCTGGTCTATCCCCAAGTTCCCTGTTACACCGTGTATGCTTCTCCTCTCGCACGAAATCACTTGAATAGGCTTAGAGAAAAGCAAGCCTGTGATGGCAAAGACAGCTAGCTTCTCAGGTACGCTACAGCGAACAGGTGGTTGTATCAGCGGCGAACGCGTGAACAAGCGATCAAGCTTTTAATCGACAAAATTAGATTGAAACTCAAACTGATAGGAACTGTCGTGCCTGACGAATAAAAGACGAATATACAAGTCTCGAGAACAACGCGCGGGAAATTCGGGAACTAGAATCTTGATGTGAACACTAGCGCCTCCTGTCAGTGCTGACGTAACACCTTCGTTGCACCCGTGTTTCCAGAAAATACGTCTTTTGTAGTGACATGGACAAGCTAGATGTTGACGCGTAGCACATCAGCATCTTGCTTGTGCTTTCTGAGAGGTCCACGGTGGATTCCGTGAGACGAAAGCGCCGAATGCAGTGGTCTTCCAGAACCCAGGGATGCTCGCGATCTGGCTTGTCCAGCATTGCAAAGAATTTTCTGAACGAATCACGAGAAATGCGTGAAATCAAATCAACCCCTCTTGCTTCCACCAGTCACGAGTGTGCCAATCACGCGCCTCGAAATTGGATAATTCTGGCCCTTGAGGACGTGGGAGGGGTGCGGGAAAACGGGGAGGTTTGACGAACAGTTCAGCATACTCGGAAATAGCTGCATCGTTTTGAATTCGCTCGCTGGACATTTGCAAAATGTACAACCTCGCGCAATATGGAACGTGCTATGATTCTACGACCAAGCCACGGTAAGTTATTTAGGGGTAAATACCAGGATGTGCGTACATCCTTCCAAGTTCCCCTAACGCGTCGACCAACTTCGGACCGTCGCGTCAAGCCCCGCCGCCGTTGCCGGTCGTCGACCTGCAGCCGTCAGATCAGCCGGCTAGAATGGCTGAAGTGCAGGAGCTAGTTGGCTTCTTACTCTCGCCGCGACCAGAGGTACCCGTCTATCTCCAGAGCATAGTCTACTTAGTCTTATCACTTGATCATGACTTTCGGGACAAATCAAGCTTCACCGTCTCGCTCTCGCCGCGATCAGTGTTTCCTTTTATCATTCCGTCGTATTTACTTTCGCATCCTGGCCATGTCCATGCCGGGTGAACAGAGCGAATTCGTAGACGGCCGGTCCCTTCTTCCCATGCCTGCCGTGATGTAACGAAGCCATTATCCCGAGCAGGTTACGTCAATTCCACTCGCCCGATTAGCTCTCGATCATTTCCCCGCTTCCAAAATCTAGACCCGGAGCCCGTTCGATCCCCCTTAAACCCTTCCGATCCCCTCTTCATGTCCGTCCTTCCACCCCTGGTTTGTAACCACGTTATCTTGTCGCGAACACAACAGGCGACACAGCTCGTGATACGCATTTAAAACACCCTATTACCACAATCCAACACATCCAGGTGCAGCACATGGCAGTGGGCATCGTAGCTGGCCTCACGTGCTCAGATGAAGGTCTCAGCAAACTGTTACTAATTCCGTAACCTCTGTCGTTGCTCTCTCTCTCCCCTTATCCCCCCATCCCCACCTGCCATCCCAGGTGCAGCGCATGGCAGTGGGAATTGTAGGTGGCCTCACAGGCTCAGACGAGGGTCTCAGCAAACTGCTACCTCTTCTGTAACCTCCTCTCTACCCTTATCCTCTTACCCCCACCCACTCACCCCGCCATCCCAGGTGCAGCGCATGGCAGTGGGCATAGTGGCGGGCCTCACCGGCTCAGACGAGGGTCTCAGCAAACTGCTACCGATTCTGTCATGCTTCTGTCCCTTTTCCCTCTCTTCCCCCTAATCCGCCATCCACTCATCATCCATCCCAGGTGCAGCGCATGGCAGTGGGCATAGTGGCAGGCCTCACCGGCTCAGACGAGGGTCTCGGCAAACTGTTACCAGAGGCTGACGTCATCGCCGCTGCCCTGCTGCCGCTGCTCTCAGCCAATAAGGTGCGGCCTACGTTCCACCTCACTCTCTTCCCTACGGTTTCTCACCCACCCCCACCTCTATCTCCACGCATGCTGCCTGTCGCTCAGCAGGCCCTTGTGAGCCTTGTTCCCACCCACCAGCAGCACAAACGTTTGCTACATTCTCAGCCTTGCTGTACCTACAGCAACCCCTTGGTCTCTCTAACACTTCCTTCCCCCCTCTCTCACACCATCACTCCCCCTCCACCTGCTTCCCTCAGGAAGCAGCCTGTCGCTCAGGCCCTTGTGAGCCTTGTTCCCACCCACCAGCAACCCTGGTCTCTCCAACACTCTTCCCGCCCCCCCTCTCTCACTCCATTCCTCCCCCTCCACCCGCTTCCTTCAGGAAATCTCCCTGCCATCCGCTCAAGTCCTGGTGAGCCTATCTCAGCACAGTATAGCAACCGTTGCAACGACTTCTCCCGCAATTCTCCTCTCACCACCCTCCCTCCCTCCCGCCCCACACCTCCCCAATTCAGGAAATCTCCCTGCCATCCGCTCAAGCCCGGTTGAACCTAGCTCAGCATGACGAGGCACCACCAGCAGCAACCCCTTGTTCTCTTTGATTTCCCCTCTTTCCCCTTTTCCACCCTTCCTCAATTCAGGAAATCTCCCTGCCATCCGCTCAAGCTTTGGTGAACCTGTCCCAGCACGATGTGGCAGCAAAGGCTGTGATTAAAGCGAGGGGGGTGGAGACAGCAGGGGGGATGGCCGTGGGACGAGGGGGAGCAGGAGGGGGAGGGGGAGGGGGGAAGGGGAAGAATGCAGGGTTGATGGTGATGCTGCTGGCGAATCTGACTCAGCTGGACGAAGGAGCAGAGAAGCTTCTTGAGGTAAGAGCTGTGGGGATTCGATGGGGGATAGGCAGAACAGGCGGGGGAGCAGCAGGGGGAGGGGCAGGGGGGGAGTTGGGAAGGGGAAGAATGCGGGTTGACGGTGATGCTGTTTGAGTCGACTCAAAAATCGACTCAACACAGTTACTTTTGAGAATTCTCAAAAGTCACTCCAATATAGTTGGGAAGGGGAAGAATGCGGGGTTGACGGTGATGCTGCTTTTTTGAGGCGCCTCAAAAATAGAATGCGGGGTTGACGGTGATGCTGCTGGCGAATTTTGAGTCGACTCAAAAATCGACTCAACTCAAGGGGAAGAATGCGGGGTTGACGGTGATGCTGCTGGTGAATCTGACTCAGCCCAGTGGGTCCGTGCCTCTCCTCGCCTCGCTCACAAGGCGATTCGCCATGAGTGCCGACAGGGAGGAGGGGCAGGAGGACGAGTACGAGCACGTGGCCACCATTCCCCTCGCTATGCTGCTGTGCTGGTTGGAACTTTCCTGGAAAAAATGCATTTGCAACCCGAGGAGCTCCCCATCTCCCCCCCACTCCCTTCCCCCTGTTTCCTCCCCCTCCCTTCGCCCCTTTGAATCCAGCCCAGTGGGTCCGTGCCTCTCCTCGCCTCCCTCACAAGGCGATTCGCCATGAGTGCTGACAGGGAGGAGGGGCAGGAGGACGAGTACGAGCACGTGGCCACCATCCTTTTCCCCTTCCCCTTTTCTCTCTTCGCCCCTTTGAATCCAGCCCAGTGGGTCCGTGCCGCTCCTCGCCTCCCTCACAAGGCGATTCGCTACGAGTGCCGACAGGGAGGAGGGGCAGGAGGACGAGTACGAGCACGTGGCCACCATCCTTTTCCCCTTCCCCTTTTCTCTCTTCGCCCCTTTGAATCCAGCCCAGTGGGTCCGTGCCGCTCCTCGCCTCCCTCACAAGGCGATTCGCTACGAGTGCCGACAGGGAGGAGGGGCAGGAGGACGAGTACGAGCACGTGGCCACCATCCTAGTCAACGCCACTCGGCTGGAAGCTGCCAGGAAGCTGCTCCTGGATCCGGAAAAGAAGCTTCTGAGACAGATCCTGCCTCAGACGTCGTCTCCAAACCGAATCCGCAGTCAAGGAGTGAGTGAGTGAGCTAGAGAGTCTTCATCGATCATTCCTCTTTATCTCATCATTCGTCTGATCTGGGTAAAGAAGCTTCTGAGACAGATCCTGCCTCAGACGTCGTCTCCAATCCGCATCCGCAGTCAAGGAGTGAGTGATTGAGCTAGAGAGTCTTGTGAGGGTTTTCTTTCATCTCATGACTCTTCTGGACTAAGAGTGATGAGGGGTGCGCAAGCTTCTGAGGCAGATCCTGCCTCAGATGTCGTCTCCAAACCGAATCCGCAGCCAAGGGTTAAGTGAGTGATTGAGTGAGTGAGCTAGAGAGTCTTCACCGATCATTCCTCTTTATCTCATAATTTGTCTGATATGGGTAAAGAAGCTTCTGAGACGGATCCTGCCCCAGACGTCCTCTTCAATCCAAATCCACAGCCAAGGAGTGAGGGATTGAGTTAGAGAGCGCATCATTCTCATCATCCCTCTGAATATATCGCTCTCGGTTTCTGAGGCGCCTCAAAAATCCGCAGCCAAGGAGTGAGTGATCGAGGTAGAGAGCGCATCATTCTCATCATCCCTCTGAATATATCCCTCTCGACACTCATAGCAAAGTCCGCTCAGTAAAGAAGCCATAACTTATTGGAAACACTCACCTCGCCCTCGCCCACCCACTCGTCCCTTTCACCCACCCGTTTGCTCTTACTTCTCCCCTGTCCAGGCCATGGCAACAGTTAGAAATTGCTGTTTTGATGCGAGTTCTGGGGCCCTGCCCTCGTTGTTGCTGCTTGCTGACCTGCCTTTTCGCACCCACCATTCCTCCCCCACCCACCCCCTTGCCCCATCAGGCCATGGCAACAGTTAGAAATTGCTGCTTTGATGCGAGTTCAGGGGCCCTGCCCTCGCTGCTGCTCCTTGCTGACCTGCTCTGGCCGTCGCTGCTGCTGCCCCTGGCCGGGACGAGAGTGAGTGAAGTGGGGTGGGGGGGGGGGGGGGGGTGTAGAAATCCTCATAAGGCGCCTGAAAAGGGTTGTGTGTCGGAAGTGACGGGCTGGTTGACTGCTACTGGTCTCACGATTTTTGAGACATCTCAATAATAGATATCTATCGATGCTTTTAGACATGCCAAAAAGAAATGTATTCCTTACGATTTTTGTGATGTGACATCTTGAAATCTACCCCATGTTCCCCCTTTTCCTCACTCGCTCCCCATGTGTCTCCCCCCCAGGAATACAGCAAGGAGGACAGGGACCAGATGCCGCCGCCAGAGCTGGCAGTACCACCACCTTTCACACACTTTCCTACTCACACAATCTCATGCCCTGACAGCTCCTCTCTCTTCCCATGTGTTTACCTCCCAGGTATACAGCAAGGAGGACAGGGACCAGATGCCGCCGCCAGAGCTGGCCATACAGCTCTCATGAACTCATCCCATCTCACACCATTGTCCTCCCTCTGTCTGCCCCGTCGTCACCCCCCTCACGCACTTCCTCCCCTCCCCCCAGGTATACAGCAAGGAGGACAGGGACCAGATGCCGCCGCCAGAGCTGGCAGTACCACCACCTTTCACACACTTTCCTACTCACACAATCTCATGCCCCGACAACTCCGCTCTCTTCCCATGTGTTTACCTCCCAGGTATACAGCAAGGAGGACAGGGACCAGATGCCGCCGCCAGAGCTGGCCATACAGCTCTCATGAACTCATCCCATCTCACACCATTGTCCTCCCTCTGTCTGCCCCGTCGTCACCCCCCTCACGCACTTCCTCCACTCCCCCCAGGTATACAGCAAGGAGGACAGGGACCAGATGCCGCCGCCAGAGCTGGCCATACAGCTCTCATGAACTCATCCCATCTCACACCATTGTCCTCCCTCTGTCTGCCCCGTCGTCACCCCCCTCACGCACTTCCTCCACTCCCCCCAGGTATACAGCAAGGAGGACAGGGACCAGATGCCGCCGCCAGAGCTGGCAGTACCACTGTCCATGATGGAGCGACCCCCTGTGACCAACTCCAAGCACTTTCTGATTGGGCCTCCTTCCCTAACCTCTTCCCGCATGTGTCTCTCTCCCCCAGGTATACAGCAAGGAGGACAGGGACCAGATGCCGCCAGAGCTCGCCGTACCGCTGTCCATGGAACGACCCCCTGTGACAGACGCCAAGCTACGGGCCGATGCTGCTGATGCTCTCTTCCTCATTGCTTCTGAGGTGGGTGTTGTGTTGCTCGACTGTACTGTGTCAATCGTACCCGTTTGACTTTTGAGTCGACTCAAAAGTCACCTCTGTGTTGCTCAAGTGTACTGTGTCAATCGTACCCGTTTCTTTTGTCCTTTTTGAAGAAATGACAGACCTCATACAGACTCTCAAGTTCGTTTTTGTGTGTGTGTGTTTTTCTTTCAGACCGATTCTGCTTGTGTTCGCAGGAGGCTTGCAGAAAAGCTCTGTGGGCTGTGCACGGTGCGAGAATACCCCAACTGACTCACCACCCTATGCGTGCCCCATACCCCACCTGCTTTTCCACCTCTGCTTCCCGTACACCAACATGTGTGCTTCTACAGGAAGCGGGCAGAAAAGCTCTGTGGGCTGTGCACGGCGCGAGAATACTCCAGGTGACTCACTACCCTATGCTCGCCCCACACCCCACCCTCACTTTTCCTCCCCTTCCATTCCCATACTGCTGTTGTTCTTCCTGCATCCTTTTTGCCCTGGATTCTCCTGAATTGCTTCCTCCTCCCAGTAGTGCCTTTTGGTCATCTCAAGGAGTGAGGATGGTGACTCAGTGACCATTACAATGCTTCTCACAGATTTGTGTCTTGGCCTTCCGTCTCCTTCTCCTGCTCTCTTCCGCTCTACCCCCAGTCCTTCCTTTACCTGTGCTCATGCCTTACCATTCTCCTGCTGGTTTTCTCATTCCCTCTTGTTGCCCTTCCTGGGTCCTCTTTCCACCCTTCCCCGTTCTCTAACCTTCTCTTGACATTTCAGGTGGGCTATGAGGATGAGGAGGATCCAACGGTCATGGAGGCCATGGAGAGGGTTGGGTCACTGGTGAGTGGATGGGGATGTGATGTGGTGGTATGGTGGGATAGTGGCACGATGTGTTCTGTCATGTGGATGATGATCATTCACATGATGTCCTGATGAGGATGAGGATGAAGAGGATCCAACGGTCATGGAGGCCATGGAGAGGGTTGGGTCAATGGTGAGTGGATGGGGTTGAGGGGATATGTTGATGTGGTGTGTTTTGTTGTGTGGATGATGAGCGTGGTCATTGTGATTGTGTTCTTATGATGATGAAGAGGATCCAACGGTCATGGAGGCCATGGAGAGGGTTGGGTCACTGTTGAGTGGATGAGGATGTGGTGATTGCTAATGGCACGTTAATGGTAATGGTTTGATGTTGTTTGGCATGGTGTCATGGTGTGAATGGCATGAAGTTGATAACATAATGTCGATGGGATGATTTTGATGGCATGAAGTACATAGATGGAGGATGTTGATGGCACGGTGTTCATGACAGGGTGTTGATAATGGTTTGATAGTCATGCACTTGGGTGCAGGGAATGGTTGGTGCTTGTTTGGAATGTCATTCAGTCTGTGTGGCATGTTGGACTTCATGGCATGGTTGACGACAGTTAGCTTTCCGCGCCCCTTAATTCTGTTTGTTAATACGGTTAGCTTTTTACGCCCCTTAGTTCTGTTTGTTATTCTTATTTGGGCCTTTTCCGTTACTGCCTGCTTTTGTGTGTGCAGATGGTTCAGAACAGCTTATCATGAGACAGTTAATAATAGCAGTCTGAATAGGGTGCAGTGTTTAGAACGTCATGCAGTGTTTAGAATCAGTTTTTACTCATACTACCGTGGGTGCAAATACGGTCGGTCGGGCAAAATGTACAGGGTGCAAATCTATTGTAATCTGTTCTGTGGGCTATGTGAAAGGCTGATTCAACGCTGAATCAGGGTAAAAAGGCTGATATCTGTTGGAAACAATTAACTCTAAGCGCCTCTGTCGTGTCGAAACACCAAGTCAGAAACGAAGCGAAGCATATCGAAGCACTGGCGAGTCAACCCTCGGAGGTTGAGCAGTTGCTGGAGGTTACGTGAAAGTCAAAGGTCAGCGACCTTTGACCTGACAAGTACAGCGCGACAGCAAGGACACACAACTGACTCGTTACAGAGCAGTTGCCCGAGTCGTCACTGTATCGAACCGCAACAGCAACAGTAAAACAGTTGGAACCGTATCTCTTCGTATTCCTTGTACTCTTACCGTATATAATCTTGTACCTCTTTGCTTTAATCAATCTACTTTGCCCTCACATACTAGCGCAAGGTGGTTCACAACTCTTCATTAAACGCTTCCGCTATTACATCAGTTATACCCAGAGTTCACCCCTGCAAAGATCCTAAGGGCTATTTTTCTCAGCCCAACATGGTATGAGAGCTATCAAGGGGAATTCAACTATCAAAACACCTACAACATCAGAAGACATGGCTACTCAGAAGGAAAGGAGTTCCTCTATTGGTTCTCCCGGCACTACTCCTACTCCACCTCCTGCCTCTGGCCTACAGACAGAGGAGGGTACGGCAACAAGACCCAAGACAACATCCACCGAGACTCCCGCGAATCAACCTGCAGGCTTCGACCAGAGCATGATGGAGAAGTTTTTCTCCTTCATGTCCTTCTACGGCAACACCAGCAATCGGCACCTGCGCAGTCACACAACAGCAACAACAACGACGTGACTCCAATGAGCCTTGATGGTTCATCCTACGCACGTGGAAATCAACAGCAGCAACCTACCTTTGCTCCATACGAGCCCCAGCGTGGTTCCGTCAGTTTTATGCCACAACCGCAGCCTGCACCTGGACAAGAGAAGACACTGGACGCGCTACAAGTTCAGTCGCAGTTCGCGCACGTTCTGAAGCTGCAGACGTCAAGACCTTTCGACGGAAAGGACTTTTTTACCTGGTCATTCGAGTTCGAGCTGATGATGGAAGGCGCGCAAATCCTCGGCTTCTTCGACGGATCCCTGCCAAACCCAACAAACGGCACACAGTACGAGAAGCAGCAGTACACCTATCAGTCAATGATGGCGTACACAATCCTACTGAGGAATATCACCCCGACTCAGCAACAGAATATACGGTTTTACCGGGGATACGGCAACTCCGCTGAGCTCGCATACAGCCACTTGAAAAGCCTGTACCAAGCAACAGACAGCGTAAGTCAGAGTCGACTAATGGCGCAACTGACAACAGTCGAAATGAAACCAGGGGAAAAGGGGATGGCGTATATCAGTCGTTGTCGCGAATTGCGCGACAAACTCCTTCGATGCGGAGGGTCGATATCTGAAGACGCATTCGTGACAGTCATCATTGGCGGCCTCGGTCCTCAATGGCGCGCCACAAAAGCCATTCTCCGAGCTCACGGAAGAATCTCCGAAGCAGCACTTTGCTCTGAAATTCATGCCGAGCAACAAGACATGGATCTGCAAGAAGAAAGGCACAAGAGGAAGACGTCAGCACCGGAATTCGCTTTCCACACTCAGCGACGCTACAACAACAACAACAACCGACAACAACCAAAGCCCGTACCTCCGTTCTGCCATCTCTGCAAGACGTCAGGACATCCGCGCACACACTGCCCCAACCGACAACAGTCAACATCGACGCAGCGGCAACTTCGACCTTCGAGCAGTCAAGTCGCCTCAACGCAAGCAAATCCCACCAATCAAGTACAAGTCTCAACGACATCGACAGGACAATCTGCACAAGGAGCAAGAAACATTGTCAGCTGCATGGCAAGATTGACCGACTCCTGCATCACCGAGTCACCGCCACACTACTCACCGGAAGAACAGCTCGACAACAGTACGCCCCGCCGCGAGTCACTTCAACCGAATCCAACGTATGCGGCTATCGCTCAAAGCGAGCCGTCTGGAAAAGATACTTGGTTCTTGGATAGTTGCTGCGGGCAGCACATGTGTTCTTCGGGACGTTTCGTTCAGCGCGAGCACCAACTTCAACGCGAAGTCGTCATTACCGTCGCCAACAATCAGAACCTGCGCACACGACGACAAGGCGTGGTTCAACTTCAGTCAAGGGAGACAAATGTTATACTGCAGATGTCAAAGGTATTAATCGCGGAGGGACTCGGCCACAACTTACTGAGCGTCAGCCAACTGATGGCGAAGGGCATACACCTTGAAGCAGACAGCACCACCCAAGAATTCAAATTGTACGACGGGAGAGGAGGTCTTTACATCGGAAAGGCAATCCTGAAAAATAATGTCTTCGTCCTCGACTTCGTTCCAGATCTCGGCACCGCTGACAGCGACGGGATCGTCACCTTCACCTCCTGGACACATCCACCAGATCTTGACCCCAACTTCAGCCCCGAAGGATTCTGGTACTCACACACCATTCCTGAAGCAGAAAGAACAAGAGCGTTAGCAACAATACAAAATTCGGCAGCAGCAGAGACAACACCGGCAGCAGCAGCGACAACACCGGCAGCAGCAGAGACAACATCGGCAGCAGCAGAGACAACACCGGCAGCAGCAGAAACAACATCGGCCATAGCAGAGACAACATCGGCAGTAGCAGAGACAACATCGGCAGCAGCAGAGACAACAACAACAGCAGTGGCAACAACGACACCAATCGCTGGTCCTTCAACGGCACCAACCTTCACCGACGATACATCACCAACACCCGCGCAGCAGCTAACTCCGACTCAACGAGAAGTCCACCGAAGCGCCAACTTCACCGCCGGTTTCTACTCCAACTCCGACATGTATCGGCGCTCACCCGGACACCGCGCCACCGAAGGAACCTGGCACGCAAGAATGGGTCACCCAAGCAACATGGTGTTAAATAACACGATAAGAGTAGGCGTACTCGACAAAGACTCTCTACTCCTAACTGACGGCAGAGAACTTCAGCGAGCCCGTGGAACATGCCTCACCTGTCCCGAAGCTGACCTACCGCATCAACCGTTCGTGCCTCACCACAACCCAAGCGCACCAGCTTACGCGCCACTCGAGAAGGTGTACAGCGACATCCTGTACAACCGCGAGCCTGGACAAAACGCGTACCATTACACCATCACCTTCATCGACGCAGCCACTCGATACGTCTGGCACCTAAATCTCCCAAGCCGCGACATGGTCTTCGAAGCCTTCGTCGCCTGGCTTCCAGTAGCAGAACGAGAATCCGGAGTAAAACTCAAGAGCTTCCAGTCAGACGGAGGGGGAGAATACACCTCACAGAGGTTCAAGGAGTACTTGGCAGAGAGAGGAATCAAGCGACTCATCTCTCTCCCCTACGCCCATCAACAGCAGGGTGTAGCAGAAAGGATGAACAGGACCCTCCATAACACCATGCGCAAGCTGCTACGTGGCATGCACCTGCCCAAACACCAGTGGCCCGAAGCAATGGACCACGCCGTCATGCTGCACAACTTGCTCTCGTCATCATCGCTCCCGAACAACGCATCACCGCATCTGCTGTGGACAGGAAAACTAGGCAGCACAAAAATGTTGAGAGTCTTCGGCTGCATGGTACAGTACCGGCCCCCATCTGCACGAGCTGGCCGATTCTCCCAACGCGCACAGTGGGGACTACATCTGGGCATCGAAAAACATGACAACGCATGGAAGATTTTCGACATCGAGACAAAGGAAACAGTAGCAGCACGTGATGTCATCTTCTACGAAAACCTCACCCTTCCGACGTACCTTGCCAACCTGGAAGAAGATCGCGACCCCACAGGTGGCTTCCGTGGTGACCGAGCCTTCGCCTCGGCAGCAGACGAAGCTGACTGGGATGAGCAGAACGTGGATGCAGCCTCGGAGGAAGCCGGACCTCTCCCCTACTGCTCCGTCGACGTGCCAATGGATGACGAAAATCCACGCGAAAGCATCAACGCCGAAACCTATTACCACTTCGCCGACAACGGTTACGTTACACCTGCACAAGTCAACACCAACGAAGCAGAACGTGTAGGACCAAACTTCAACCCTACACCAGAAGAGGGAGACGAAGCAGCTTATCCCGAGGACACATCACTCCCCTGCTACACACAGAGTGGCCTCTAGATACTTGGCCTCGTCACCGCGGTCCACGGCACTGCGATTCCTAAAGAGCCTGCCACAGTTCAGCAGGCTCTGGGGGGGGAGCATAAGGAAAAATGGCTCGAAGCCATGGACAAGGAGCTGA